TATGTTTTTCTACTTAATTCGTTCTTAATGATACGTATAAAATATTTGATATTTTAAATTATATATAATTTTGAATATTGTAAATTAGAATGATATCTTATTTAAAATTAGATTCAGTTTGACCTCAAATGTGTAATATCTAGTTAATATAAATATCCAATTTTCCTATTAATTTTGATAGAAAAATAAATTCTGTTTCTTGTGTTTTTCGATGAAACGCAATACAGGTATTTAACACTTGATACACAGTATGATTATATAATGCGACAGATGCAATTGTGAATAAAATTTATAAAGATATATAAAAAAATATTTTATACGTACATGCGTTCGGTATAGAAGAAGATATACAGTGAAAACGATTATTAATTTTCTAGTAATTATTTTCTGATATTTTCATATGATAAATGAAAAACAGCTAAATTGTTTTTAGAAAAGAAATGCAATTACAACATTTCATACTTATTTTGAAATACAACTTGTATTCGGATCACACTGTATGACAATATTAATAATTAATTTTTATACTAAAATTTTTATAATTAACTGAAAATTAGTTCTGAAAGTACATGTGTATAAATTTGAAATTTATACATGGATGTATAAACTTCATAGTTTTAAATATTCACTTGATATAAATAAATTTCTTACTTAACAAATTGTTATATATTTAGAAACATGTATTACGTATGAAAGATGAGCCCCCATTTCGATGTGCCGTCTTGTGGAAAATTTGGAATTGCAACATGATCCATTTTTGGAATATTTATTCCATTGAATTCAGATTTTAAATGCAATGTAATATTGTATATGATTCTTCGTGCAAACTCAAAAAGTTTTGAAGACTTCTTTTCTGAATAACATAACCACAAAGTAACGTTTTCGTTAATTTTAGTGAAATTATAATTAGTCATAACTATTGCAACTTGTGAAGCAGACATTGGAGGAGTAATGTAGAAATATGTGTGTATTGAATCGCTATAATTTTCATAGGTCACGAACTTTGTCGGCATATTTGATAAAACTGAATAGCGAGGATGTTTGATTGAAATATTAAACGTAGCCTTTAAATGCGATTCATCCCAAGAAGGAAACAATTGTCTGACTCCATTTGCTTGAATTTGTGAAGCGAGCAACAATCTACAACAATTTAATAATAGTTATATTTGCTTGAAATAGTATTAAATAATAATAATAATAATATAACTTTTTATTGTTTGATGTAATTTATATAACATCAAAATTTGGTATAAAAGAATAAGTTTTGAGAAAAAAATCAGAAATAATTGTATAATGGTGCAAATAATGGATATATGTATAATTTCTATTTAATATTTTGCTCACGTTGTGCAATTTTCTTTGTAGAAGTATTTGTAGATATTATTTTTATTCATTTCCGTAAGATGACCAAAGAATTGTATTTTGAATGTGTAGATCCCGGGAAGTAATGTATAAGATAAAGGAAATTCTAAAATGTCTGTTTTATAGCTATGTTTGTATTTATTCATTACATAAATTATACCGTTATCTGTAGTCAAAAATATTTTCTCATACATGATTATCAGATTTTGTTGATGTAATTTTATATATTGAGTGGATTGAAGGATATTTATAGTGGTACTAGTCTTTCCAAAAAAAAGAAATGAGCTCGGAAATGAGCTATAACCACCTATCTCTCTGAAAATGATATCGTATTCATCGGTATATTGATAAATCATGTGGATAAGCTCTATGGTGTAATGCACTGGCATCACATAATCAGGTAAAGATTCCTTTAGATTTCTATAATTGTTTACTTCTGCACCGTTAAGATTAATTATTATTATGATAAATATTATGCTGCTCTTTATGTGTGCGTGGTTCATATTGCAATTGTTGTTCTATATAATATCTATCAAAAAATTTAAGAAAATAATAGCATGCTAATGATAATAATGCACATGATTGTATGTGATTACTGAGAGAGAGAGGGAGGAATGGGGATGAGGAAGAAAGAGAAGGGGGAAGGGAGAAAGAGGAAAGGACAGAGAGAATATTAAAATCATTCCTGTAATTATGATTACATCTATGCAAACCATGCAAACCCATCGACGAGATAATATGAAAGACTGTCAATTCTGGGCAAACTTTCGGCCGTATAAAAAGACCCCAAGGGCGCTGAGGTAATTGAAGATCGCTGATATTATCGACAATATAAATTTACTACTATTATAATTATTTGGCTAATATATTATTAACTTAACGATTTTTTGTTATATAAATGTTTTTTGAATAAATATGCGTACTCGTAAAGCTATAATATTTTATAACATATGCCGCAAAATTAAAATTTTTTCTCTACAGTTATGATGTTTATTGATAAAACTTTGACGCGATTACACTGAAATCACATTTTAATGAAAAATCGAGTGTTATTGAGTTTTCAACGTATATACATAGTTAAATGCGCCTACAAAACTATAATAAATCATAAAATTAGTATCAGTTTTTTACTCTTACTCGCGAACTCGCATAAGAATGTCAGTCTTTAATAGTATCTCATCGTGGCAATACAAGCACTTTTAATTTTAGTAATATTTCTAGCACTGTTGTGATTATATTAAAAATATTGTTACAGCAACGATTAATAATTTTAAAATGTTTTTATATCTTGTTTTAATAAATTTTTTTTATTTAATATGTGCATTGCTTTTTTATTGATGTTTTAAAATCATATGAATATCTTACAAATGACTATAAAAAATTATTTTAAACTACATTTTTTTAAGGCAAGTTAATTTTAAATAATAAAATAAACATGTATATTTCACAAATAGCAAAAAGCGCAGCATATTATTTTCATAATGTAATTAACAAAACAGTATTAAAGTGATCATATCTTACTGCGCTAAAAAAATGAAACTTTTGTTTGAAGAACATAATTTAAAACTATCGAATAACAAAACAAAGGACTCTTTCTAAACTAAAATAAATAAAAATAAATACCGGACAAAGAGTCAACACATTTCTTTTAAAATTCACAAAAATGTATATTATAATTAACAAAGGTAAAAAATTACATAATTGAAAAATTATCATTTAATTCAGTCTTTACGTCTATATTCTTAAACATGTAACGTTCAGTTGAAAGGCAAAGAACGTTTTCACTTTATTATTTAAAAAATAATCGATTGTACAAATAATATATTATCTTCTTAGAAACTTACTCTGTATAATTGTAGTATTAAGATATAATTTTTACTGCTGGTTGCTATGCTCATAACATTTATAACGAAACGAAATGTAGATTGTAATAAAATGTTTCCAATGGCTCTTATCTTTCTCTTTCGAGAAATCACAACAAACTAATATCATCGACAATAACATACATAATAAACACTTATATGATAAATAAAGAATATTATTCAAATCGGTACTTTTAATATACATATTCTATATTAATTGACGTAATATTAATCGGTCTTTTTTTCGGTGGAATACAAATTTAAGGTGGATGGATTCATATGATTAACTTATCCGAATATATTTGATATATT